TATTTCAATTTCATTATTTTTTATAACAATCATTAAAACATTTTGTATCAAATTATTGTGTGAAAAAATTTATACTTATTTTTCAGTGATGCATAACACATATTTGCTTATTTCTAGGGTCTTTGTTCATTGGGCTTTAATCTACTGTATTATAAAAGTTAATAAATAGCAAATAAATAAGAAAAATACAATTTCTAGCCAACAGTTGCCTGTATCGAAATTATATTAATCTTATATTAAAAATACATTTTATATATTATTAGCGCTCATAACTTATTAATATAAATTAATCTCCGGACGCATCAATTATTTATACAGATATTAATATAGTTTTAATGATACCACATGTGAGGCTTATCTAACCCTTTTATTTTTGCTATAATTTCAATGTAAAGTTTACAATATATTTTTACAACGATAACTTACACGTTGATTAATTGGATCTATCATTTAACATTATCTTATTATAAACCCTATTGTTTGTAACAAAACTAAGTTATGCACGCAATTAATAATAATGATGAATACAATGATAGCGCCGGCAATGGGAGCACAGAAATGCGAGAACTAAATCACAGCGAAAATCATTCAGAATATACCGCTAATAACCAAAACCAAAGCCAAAGACCTCTTCAGCAGATCTATCACAACAAAGCAGATGAGGACTCCTCTACTGTCAAACAGGTGACTATAATTAAGGTTCTTATCTCTCCTTTTATTACTCTTTTTCTCTCTTTCTTTTGTCTTTTCATTTCAAATATCAAATTCCATATAAAAATATACAAACATTTATTCATTAAAATATTGACTGCAAATACAAGATAAACACAACACCAGAATAAATAAACTATAATATTCCTAACCAAATAAAGAGGTGTATAGTATGTGAACTAATATTCAATTAACAGGTAATCAAAATGTTAGTGGCAGTAGTGGTGCTGTTCATAATTTGTTGGTCACCTCTTCTTATCATTAACGTATTGACAGCTTTTGGTATTATAGAGCCATTAAACTATGGATACTTAAAGCCCTTAAGAACAGGTATTCAATCACTGTCTTTATCTCTCTTTGTATAAACATATAAAAAGTCAAGAATATTCTGGACTAAAGTGCATGTTAAACATATTACTTTGTTATATGAGTTAATAATAACCAAATAACAATGCTTTGTATATAACAGTAATTATTAATCACAACAATTTGTATATTAAACCCCAAATTAGCGGCACATCTATTATCGTATGTGAATTCGTGCATAAATCCAGTGGTCTATGGGTTTATGTCAAAGAATTTCAGGGCGTCTTTTAAGGCGGCGCTCAGCAAATGTCTTCATTGCAAAGGTAATGGAGGCTACGGTCAGAGCACTACTAATCGCAGCTATACCTCCACGTATCGCATCAATAGCACGACCGCCACTCGAGCCACCAGTATTTGGACTCAGCAACAGATGAACCACAATATGTAACAGTTTTTAACATGTATTCAATACACTCTCTGAGAGTCACAAATTTTGTCACAACAAACACCACAAAACAACTCAATCATACAATTTTCTCGAGTCATTCAACAGTATATGACAGCATTAATACAGGATGAGAGGGAGAGAGAGATGAGCGGAATAGACTCTCCATCTCATAATACATATGCACTCACAATATATTACTTAATGTCCAAAAGTATACTCAAAAGAAAGATATTTCTTTCTCAAAAAAAAACTAAATCTCTCAAAACTCGTACAACCATTTGATCCCATTTGGGACTCACGGATAATAAGTTTTTTCACACAATATAAAAAACTTTTTTCTCATTTGATTGAAAGCCAAATGTAATAAAACTCAATCAAACAAACGAAACACAAAATAGTGAATACAAACTCGTTTTTATATCTCATTTTATTTAATTGTATTAATAATATAAGGAATTTTGCCATCAATTCTGTTATGTGCTAAAGAATATTCACGTTTATGTCAACAATTCTTGAATGCTTTTAACTCAATGCCTGTCCCCTCCATATGTCTCGCATTTTTAGCCCACAATCGCATCCCAATACATAAAAACAACATTTTCACAGAATATTCCTGTTATATAAATTACATACAAAAAACATTGTAATTGTTTTGTCAAAAGTCTTGTGTTGAATAAGTTTTGTGTTGTTTTACTAACAATCAAAATACTCTCTCATCTCATCGAAAGACTACTATTATTGCTATTTATTATTAAAAAGGATGGGAAAAGTAGTACTCAAACAAAACACACACAAACCATTGCATAACCATTTGTAACAATGATTTAATTGCTTTTTATTTCGGTTGAGCTTAATATCAAATAAGAGGTCGTCGTATGATATGATATAATACACAACCAATAATTATATCGTTATTATAATTAATGATTTCTCTCATCAATTTGTTGAATGAAGTCTTTTTTTTCGTTATTCATATCAATATTACATCAATCGTTAATTCATTACATTATATACCCTCTGATTGTCTATCTTTTTTTGTTTGTTAATAAATCAGATATTGTTAACTCATGTCATGTTATTTGTATTATATATTCGCAAAGTATTGTTTGAGATCATTATTAGTGAACTATTTGGCTATTTATAGGACAGTCGACTCTAACACTACTTCAGATGAAACCATATATTTATATAAATATTTTAATTAATGATATTTTAATGTAAATGTTGTATAAATATCATCTAAACATTTTATCCGATTATATATATTATCTATCGAGTGATTATATCATATAATTATATAATTTATAAGTATATTAAAAGAATATTAATTATTATGTATTTATTGTAAGTTATAATTCTTGAATAAATTTAATTAATATAAATACCAACAACCAAACAATTTGTTCATAAATATAAACGAATTAATAACTTATTTCCTATTTATAAGTACAAAAGTTTGCATTTTTCAACATTTTAAATACCGTTGAATACATTTCTATAAAATGGTCCTTATTTTTGGATTTTATAACTATTTATTTTATTTTATTGTATTATAAATGCAATCACTTATAATCGGGATCACAATCCGTTGCTTTAAGTCTCGGTTCATAATATTTTATATATGATTAGTTGTATTGTTTTGTT